AATGGACTTTGTGTGTTCTTGGTACCAAATCTGAAGGTTGTTATTAATATAAGCAAATGGCAGCAACAACAGTAGTTCATGCCAGTAGTGCTTTGCTCCAGCATTGCTAGTAGTGAGTCTACTGCACTCAGTAGACATCATACATGTCAGATACACTATTAATTACAAATCATGGAATGCATGTGAAATACATGAAGTGGATTATTGACTGACTCTTTCCTCTCTCGCCATTCATTACTAGTTTACACATTTTATTCCACGGTGCATAATTCAAGTAGCTGCATGGATGGAAATGTGTTAAATGCTGATATTCATAGTACAGTGATATCAGATCATGCTCCTATTTTTGTAAGGTTTTATCCTTTTTACAAAGAGCATAAGACAAAACAATGGAGATAAAATATGTTTTGTTAATAGGATCGAAAATAAAGGAATATTTTACTTTGACCACATATTGGATCAGTACGGTACATCGATACAGGTAGTATGGGAAACATTTAAGGCAACATGTGGATAAGTTATTCAATGGCTAAAAAAAGAAAATGAAACAAAAAACTTTATAACAGAAGAACATAGGAAGCTGGGAAAAAAGTCATTACTGGTTTAGTGCTGTGACCAGTTTTGTTGCCTAGGATAATCATTACTAACATGAGCTGAGCATGTTGGCTTTCTATTATCTGCCATATCAATTTGTGATTTGTTTTAATTCTCACCTGAAAACTGGATTAAATGTCATGTAGCATGAGTCTAAAAGCCTTCTGTGACTATAAATTCCTGTAGTTATGATATATAACACCCAGGTTTCAGTATAATCCCTCCCATTCTCTGTTCAAATGCTCTGGTGTTTTCCCGTCATTTCGACTGTGCACAAACATTTGAATACTTAAATGCCTTTTCATTTTGTTGCCTCTAAAATCTAGTATTGTCAGTTCAGCCCCTGTTTGCCAGACTCTTGTGTTGGGGATGCATGTCATGCTCCCCAGACAAATTTATCAGCTTTGCACCACTCAGAAAATATAAAACAAAAGGAGATATTTTGGCAATGACCGCTCAACCTTTCCCTCTAATGCATATACACTATAATGTTTTTAGAAATGGTGCATCCCATTTTGACATTTAGCTCCATACCCTGGTAATGTGAGTTGTATTGTCTTACACCAATTTTACTTGAGATAGGTTGCATGCATTAGCTGAATGACTGAAGGGTCTCATTTCATTTAACATTTCAGAACTGACATCTTTTTAGTTCCTCACGTTCCAGATCAGTTAAAGCACCCCAATCATTTCACATTACTTAAATGCATCAGTTTCAGAGGTCCTTCTGCTGGTGTTCACACTAATTTTGTTCCTCATGCGCACACTGTATGGCATTTGACCCCTTCTTTGCCCTTTTCTCCATCTCTTGGTTTGCTTCCCCCAGGAAGAGGAGGATTTGAAGTCAGAGGTAACAGTGAGTCTGTGATCGTCTCTTTCCACGGTCCCTACATATAGTCATCAGCAGTGTGGTTTTGATGATGCAGAGATCAGAGACAGCTGCTCTGGTTGGGGTGGGGTGGGTCCTGGTCTGCTGTTCCCACTCATCTGTATTTTTTAAATGACGCACTTCAAGACTTCACCTTTCTTCTCTCTACCATCATCCCATTCTTCATTTCTTCCCAGTTCTGTAGCTGATTCCTGACAACCTCAACTATCCCCTAACAGTAGATTCCATTTTTATTCACAAGACATTTCTGTAGTGCATGCCTGCTGTGCTCTTTTGCTCCCCACACAGCCTGCTGACCTACAGTCTTTTATTCCCTATAGGAGGAAGAAGAGCTACGACAGCTTGAGGTAGATTCATGTGTTTTTCTTTTACTTCCTGTGGTCTTCCTCAGTTCATCTAGTCTTTTTTCAGTCACCTATTACTTTAAATCCTTTTCTTTCTCTGTGTATCCCACTATGTCAAGCATTCCTTCAGTTTTTTCCTTTACTATTTAATTAGACATTGTGTCAGCAAGTATAATCCATAAGATTTGCCATGATTTTAGATTAAAAAGGGACCAAACAGTTGGATGTGTAGAATGGCATCTGTGGGTAGAATAAAGAGTCAGTGCAACAGTGCGGGCCATATTTTTTGCTTGTAATCTCAAGTGTGTATCATCTGTCTTTATCCATATATGCAGTGATGATTACATTATGATCTCGAGTGATTCTTATCAGGCAACTGCCAATATAAGAGTCATTATCAGAAAATAAATAATGCAGTTAGATTCTGCCCTCTATTAAATGTGGAATAAATGTATAATACTGCATGTCTTCAGGAGTTTACAGTGTAATGCCCCCTGCTTGCAATCACACAAGTTCAAACACATATACAAACCTGACCTGAACATACACTGCACATTGTGTTCTGATTACAGGGTTGCAGGTTTCTCAGCCCGTGATCCATTCAGCCACTTTTCACACAGTATCACTTAACTCAGGTTTAACTTCCCTTCAGACCTATCCAGATGCCATATCAGGATTTGCCTGCTATGGCTACACTGTGATTCAGCCTCAGTTAATTTAAAGAAAAACAAACACGCAGTCCAGATAAAAAAAAAAAGTAGGACTTCTGCTTCTCTGAGACATTCCATCCTCTGGTTGATCTTCTGTCATATTTCTTCACTGCTTTGCTTTGCCTTGCTTTTCCTTCTTTACTCTCTGCCTTTCTATCTATTTTGTCATTACTGTTCTACCTTTCTTACAGGAGCAAGCTGAACAATGCAGTCAGGTGGTCTCTTGTGGTCTGTGGCATCCTGTTACTCTGTCCCACCTCTTGCTTCTCTCTGTCTCTCTCTATGTACTGCATGGACTTGCAGATTCTTTTCCATGAAGATGCCTGTGATGTGCAGCATAATGAATGTTTACTTAAACCTTAGGTGGAATAATGTGGTTACAAAAAATCCAGTGCTGCAGTATTGCCATTATATTTGTTATTTTCATAACTTCTTTTTGACATTCACATACTCAACACCACCTGATTTAATCTTCCATAGGAAGAAGAAGAGGCTGAAGTACAAGAGGTATATTAGCATTGTAAAATCATTGCCCATGTTTTGCATGCACTTCTTTTTCTATTTAATGTGTCAAAAGAAGAAGAGGATGACTTGGAAGAAGCAGTATTACAATGACTAGAATCCAGTTTGTCCATTTGAATGGCTGCCTGTGTTCGACCTGCTTGCGACAAGTCTTGTTTCATTCTCACAAAGAAGATGGATCTGTGTGTGGGACACACTTTCAGATTAACAGTAGTTCACTGTCAGTAATGACTGGTTTTATTGGAATTACCAGTCTGGGTGGAGAGACACGATAATTGTTTCGGAGAGAGGAAATTTCTTTTTTCTACACTATCACTGTCAAAGGAATTGTTGTTGCTTTTATTTATGCCACAAACTGATCTAATTGCAATCTTTTTTTTTATCCACTAATCCTCATTCTATGGATTTAACTTGAGTCACTGAGATAAAGGGGCTGAAAGTAACGCACAGGCCATCTCAGTTTTCACTGGGATTGTTTCATTTTCCTGCAAATACAAACTTGTCCCGTAATTTAAAAGGTGCACAACAACATAATAAAATTACACAAAATAACTTAAAACCTGTAGGTTCCAGTACATTCTTGTGTTGATCTTCCACCTCTGTCATTTTACATTGCTTTGCTTGTGAGTATTTGTTATCTGTTTGCGTTAACAGGAGGAAGAAGCTGAATAGTTAAAGCCAGGTGACACTGATGATGCCTTACTACTATCCAGGTAAAATGCTTTACTGTTCTTTACTGCTTTGTTTAAGTGTTTCTGCCTTACCACTGGAGGGCAGTAAAACATTAAGTGAATTGACAGCAAACGTCAGCACAGCATGAACAAGCCCCCATAGTGTTGGTGGTATATTTGGCATTTATGTAACCAGATTCATTAAGAAGAGAAACCTGTACAGTGACTTGTTTTGTGTGCCTCTTTAACCCTACAATTAAATCAGAGGCCACTAAAATAACAACAGCTACTCAACCAAACTACATTATCTCCATTATATACTACTATGTAATTTTCTTGTCTTTATATATAAGATGCATAAATCTCACATACTACCACTGGCACTCTCTTTGCTTCACCATGGTGTATAGAGCTGTCTTTTGTTTTCCGCTGACATGCACTTTGAGATGTTCAGTCAGAGGAAACAAAATAACGCAGCAGCCTATTTACAAGGGGCGGCCACTACAGTCTACATCTGCAAACAGCTTCAGTAAGCACACAGAGTGCAGCAGGATGATCCGTAACAAAAACATTAGAGATTTTTTTTTTGTTGTTCCTCTGAGGTAGTGGCAGTGATGATAGTCCTGCTCTTTATAGTTTGTATATTAATTCCTATCTGCATGTCAGGCATCTATGACCCACTGCAGGAAGAGCTATAGAGCAGGCTTTGAAGGAATGGCAATGCTCGTCTTCCTCCTACCCCTCCAAGCCCCTGTCACACCATGTTAGAGGAAGCTGCTGAGTGAGCTTCAGCTGTGGGCACGCTGGGTAGTGGTGGCTATACAGACAGCTGGGAAGTGTGTGATCTCATTTTTTTTTTCTCATCTGTTTGACTTGTGTTCCAGCCTTGACTCCATCTCATCTCTCCCTGACCACTGATGCTTGACCCCCTCAGCCCCGATCAGTCAATGTCTCCACCCCTCCCCAAGGCTGCTCTGGACCCCACTGGAAACCATCAGTTATGTACTTGAAGGCACCATCCAAACTGAAAAGTCCAAACCCACATTTGCCACCCCCTACCTTTCTGACTGCAATGTTGACTTAATTTTTATATTTTGCGTGTAGAGACATACTGTAATGAGAAAGCGCAGAGTAGCCTAGTGGTGTCGGTTTGTTTTTAATGAGTAGCTTTTGTAAAATGCAGTTATTTTGTTAAACTCATATGCATTTTAATTTTTTCCTATCTATTTGGGATTATTGGGACATGATAAGTATAAAATCCAAGTATGGTCTTTGAACAGGAAGTCGTTTTTGAGAAAAATTATGTCCTCATATGGGGACATTGGGTTTATTTTAATGCGTAATACAATAAAATTACTGGTGTTTGCAACAGAACAAAACTATACCAGAACATGGCTGTGCACACAATATTTGCAACACATTACAGAATAAATCTATGCCAGAACATAGCTGTGCAAAAACAAAATTTGCTAACAATATTTGCAACACATCACAGTACAAAACTATGCCAGAAAATGGCTGTGCACATATTTGCATCACATTACAGAATAAAACTATACCAGAACATGACTGTGCAAACAGTAATTGCAACACATTGCATGACTACATATTCCAAAAGTATGTTTTGTCTCAATTCATTTTGTGCGGAGAAATTTCATTTGTTTGTAGTCTGTAGAAACAGTATCACACCTATGGACCTTTGTGAAAAGAGTTCTCTCCTATTATTGCATTCAGCAGTCTTTCTAGACATGTATCGGATAACAATAAAAGAAATTTAATCAATGTAGACTAATGTGTACCACATGCAACAACAGTCTATATTTATATTTAGTGGAAACTGTTAGTTTTTTCACAAATCTTCCCAAGCCATGTGTCATTACTTTTACACCTTCACACAGACAATGTATTAACATGGTCCCAATGTCCTCAAACGAGTACTTCATAGTTAGAAGCCTCCTAACTTGTTACTATTGCTAAAAGATGTCAAATTTATATACCATCTCAAACTACAGACATTAAAAAGCATAAATTAGCAGGTTTCAACCATGAAATGTTTTTAGGTTTTGTACCTTGTCCATTTTTATTTCGCGCTCGGCTGTAGAACATCTTGGCTGAGATTGACGCCATCTTGGAATTATAGTAACACATGTAATGTGCTTTTCCTACCACAAGATGGTGGTAAAAGTGTCTACATACAAGGACAACAGGTCTAAGTTGAGAAGAAATAAAGTATATGGTGCAGGAAACCCAAAATGTGCGGTCCTCATATGAGGACGCAGGGACTCTAGAGGTTAAGAAACTCTAGTTTTCTAACACAGAGAGGCAGCGACCTTTTCAAAACATATGGCCTTGACATACCTTAGCTTCTGGCTTTCAGACAGAAAAGGTTTGTTAACTCACTCTAAGTGCTCTGTTGTTTGATTACAGTGTCATGCCTTAATGACTCCTTTTACCCAGTGAATGTATAAATGCAAACCAATACGTGTAATGGCCACATGACAAAGAAATAAACATATAATGTAAGACTGCAAACTACTCCTGCACCACTACAATTGCCTTTGTCAGTACTGCTGTCTAATCGATGCACTTTGCTGAATGATGAGTGAAATGTGACTAAGACTTGGATGAAAAGAAAAATGCAATAAAGAAGACAGGTAAAAAAATTTAGTGGTTTTATTCTGTTTTATGTTAAACAGGCTTTTTTTTACAAGGTCACAAGTTGGCAACCATTGATGTACTCCTAAACAATTGTATTATTTGTCTCTTAATGCTGAATATTGGTCTGAACAGCTAATAAGGAGTCAAGTAAGTGTAGCAGAGCAATATATGTTCAATATTTGCCTCTGAATTGTAGTGGAGTACAAGTTTTACGTAGCGTAAAATGAAAGCCGCTCAAGTAAAGTACCTCAGAAGCATACTTAATTACACCACTTTCATATGTGTATTTTCTACTGGAAAGGTGTTTTTCGTACTGAAGACGCTGAACATGATTTCTTTGACAAAAATCGTTTCCCATTTTCTAAAATAAAGTTTTCAAAATTTGTCATGTCATCCTCTTTTAACGCTTTGCCAATCCATCATCCTGTGTGTCAAAACACATTCACCTGAAGAGGGATGGGGTGTAGTTTTAAGGTCCCTGGATACTGGAGACTTCCAAGTGGCATTGTTTGCAGCATGAGTCACACTGTGTATTTCCATCTGCACAGAGCAAAGTTCCCACTGAGTTTGGTAATATTTAACGGGACAGTTTTGGGTGATACGGCTTAGCACCAGGAAAGAGAAAGCAGCAGCAATGTTGACATATATTCAATGTGTGTGACACCTGTTGTTGATCCACAGACACCAGACTGAGGTGAATCAGACAAACACAGTGAGATTTATGGCTGTTTATCGTCAACTTAACCTGGCCTATAATTTTATACTGGACCTGCTGTTTTCTGCTCTGCATGAGAGAAATGGTTCATAGACAGGTACAGTTACATGTACACAAGATCTCAGTGATTTTATTGGTTAAATTATTGTTTTTGTAAGCACGGAATAGTGTTCTGACCTGAACTAACTTAACAAAAATTGCTGCACTTTGACCATACTTAAGAAAAGCTCTGTACGTGTGTGGTAAATTTATCAGAGAGTACACAATGTTTTCTCAGCAGGAGAGTATAGTCTACTGTGAGTGACCATAGAAACAAATGTAAAGTAAACAGATGGTCATGTTGTACGTAGTGACTTGTTCAAGCTTTAATACACTTGCTGTAATTTGTTTTAACTCATCTGATTGAATAAGGTGTACTGCCATGATCTATTTAGGTAGACCTGAAATGTTATACAGTTTGAAAGGCATGAATGCACATGAATAATTCAAGCTCTGAATTAATATATGAGAATGTATTTATTACTCAAAAGTTGGGACTGTTCAGTTGACTTTTAATAGTGTAACAACAAGCTACAAAAGGATCTGCATGTGTTTTTAAAACAATGTTACAGCAATGCTTGCAGCCTTGTAAGGATATACTGTACTTGATTTGCTGTTGGACACTGTATATATATATATATATATACACACACACATGCATTTCACATGTAGCCAGTAATGCCCTCACTGTGTACGATTTGTCTGAAATTTGGACGCCGTGTCCCCTTGTTCAAGATGTGTCTGCTCCTCACTGCACTTTTTGTACACCAACCACTTCCAATGTATGAATGAACATGTGCATAACGTGGACTGTTGTGCCTTTAAATCTGACCAGCACAAACTGATGCATCTCTACTTACTGAAGTTCGTCCTAGAGGGAATATGAATGCATCAAACATTCATAGCAATCCATCCACCAATAACTGTAAACACATTTGATTTAATCCCAAATAAATGTGTGATGACAGCATCCTCTGGGAACCATGAATGCCTGTACAAAATGCCGGGCCATTATTGAGTAGATGCTGCAATATTTTATAGCAAAAATAAAAACTTTGGCCTGCTGGTGGCACTAGAAGGAAATTAATGGGATCATCAAAGTTAGGAGAAGTCATTCTTGAGGGGCTGTGAATATCTGTACCAAATTTCAAGGCAACCCTTCAAACAGTTGTTGAGATATTTGTTGTAAAATCACCAAATAACTGATTTTTGGTGACTTCATCCTCTGGGAACCATGAATGTGTGTACAAAATACTTGACCTCATTTATCAAGTAGATGTTGAGATATTTTGCAGCATAGAAGAAAATTTATGGGATCACCAAAATTAGTAGAAGTCATCATTAATGGACCATGAATAGCTGTACCAAATATTATGGCAATCCATCAAACTGTTGCTGAGATATCACTGCCATCCTCAGTCATGTTGCTAGCATAACTAAAACCTTGTGATTATGATCAACCATGCAGCTGTGTACTGTATGTAATAATTCTGGCTAATTATGATCAACCATGCAGCTGTGTACTGTAGGTAATAATTCTGGCTAATTTTATTTCAGATCCATTCAGCATTGAACAATGGATTGACTGATTAAACATGGACGTCTTTCTTCTGTTAGTGCTCCTAATGTCATGCAGGATTCAAGGTGAGAGTACAGCTCCGAACACACACAGCAGCGTGTTTGACTGATAATGTGTCACAGTGTCCGGTAATGTGTTTGTATTAATGACCACATTCAGTGCCATGGTTTGCTTTATAGCTGCACACTCTGAATTAAACCCACACACAATCTAATTAGAAGGCCTCACGATCTATCTGCACTTTATAATTAATTTTCTTCAAAATGGCTGCATAGTTGGTTGACAGTGAGATGTTGCCAGTGGTCAGGGGACATCAGAGTCACTGGTTCATGTCCCCAATAGGAGCAAGCACAAATTACACTCATTAGTCTGCCATTCTCTGACTGCAGTGAAAAGTCACAGCTGTATTTACTGGCCCAGATATTTCTCAGACCTAACATCCTAAACAGATGCATAATTTATGACTCTGTGTGCTGGTTGTAGCAGGTAATGCAGTTAGCTCACCACAAACAAGTTATACATCACCCTGAGTACTGTGGTGTAAACACATTATTTTATAGTTTTCCAATAATATTAATTCTTTTCTCCTTCATTTTTCAGTGTCGGAAAGCAAACAAATATATGCTGGAATACAACTGGGGATGTATGCGCCCATGTGGCTCTGTGATGGGTGGTGTTTACAGAGTAGCTGGCCCTAACTATTAGACCACAGAGAGTTATAGATGGCTACTCTTTAACCTGCTCATCTGATTTTAATCTAATCATATAATTCTTGTATATTTATCAAATTCTGCAAGTTAAAATGTTTAACTTGTAGAAGGATGCTCTGGCCTGTGTGTGGCAGCTACAGACTAATTTGCACAAACTGGGTCTATCATGCCTCTATCATGGCAGATTTAGAACTGTACATCGGTTAATGACAAAAAAACAGTACCACAAATTCACTGTTGCTCTTCTGAAATCTAGACTCATCTATGACTCAGACAACAATGGATGGAACAATGCTACTTAATTTGTTTTGCTTTTATGCTTTTTGAACAGACAGTGAATGCCTCTAGTATACCTTTCCTTCGTCTTTCCTATACTGACTTCATCCTATCATTGCTTCTTCACAAAAAAATAGATTATTTATCATTGTTAGAAAACAATGAAAATCTGTTTGGCATCTCCTCATTAAAATAAATAAATAAATAAATAAACACAGCTACTCAAACATTTAAAATATTTCCTAATTATTTATGTAAAAAGTAAACAAATAAAAAATAAAGTAAAAAACATTTAAATATATAAATGTAAAAAGGTTATTTACCATTATCATGTTATTATAGCCTGCCAAATTTGCATACATGTGCTCATGACATTCAAGAGGATTGTAACATTTGACTGTGGTTAAAATGTGCATCTTTGAAATGACAGTTGCTTTTGTGTTTTCCTTGCTTTGCCAGCTGGACTTACTTTCTGATAATACTAATGGAGAAACTACAGCACACTGTGTGGTTTTATTGCATAGCCAATCTCATAATTCTGAGTGGCGTAATGCTTTTGCCTACTTGTCTTCTACTGGTCCTACTAAGTCTTACTAAATGAGTTATATTTCACATTTTGTATGAGGTCTCAGCTGCTTGCCAGGCAACCTGACAAGGTCAATAGACCATAAAATAGTTTGGCATATAACCTTCCATAAATCCACAGCTTGTTGTATTTACACTTCAGTTTGTGTGTATGTGTGTATCATAAGCCAACAACATAAAAAGTCTTATTTTGTGAGCTTTACAGCTTGTTACCTTTGGATAAAGACGGCCTAGATGTTTCCCCTATTTTCATAGCTAATGCTAAGCTATGCTATTAAGCTGTAAACAACAGACACAACCGTGGTATCAATCTTCTCATCTAACTCTCAGCAAGAAACAAGTGCATTTCTTGAAATACTGAACTAACTATACTATTTAACAGCATCAAAGTACTCTGAAAATTTGTTTTGTTTTCACTTACTCCAAAACCTCTTTCCGACTCATTAGCTTTTGTTACAGGGTTTAATGTTTGTCTCTCTTTCAGCAGTGAGAACTCAGATGAAACTGTTTCCTGAAACACTAACTGTCCTGCAAGGGGAGGAGGCCCGGTTTACCTGCACTACCTCTAACACCCAGTGGACCATTATGGTGTGGCTGCTGAATGGAGCAGCGGTGCTCACCATCTCAAAGACGCACGGTCTCCTGCCATCCATTAACACTAATGTGACAGCAGAGAAAAGTTCCACCTCAAAGGGAGACAGCTGGCAGTTTGTCCTAAAGAGTACAGAGAGGGACAACCAGGGACAAGTGACCTGTGACCTCCAGGGCATTGATAGGAAGACAGCAAGCCTGTTTGTACAAGGTCTGTATGTTCATATGAGTGTGTATGTTTGTGTGGGCGAGAGAGAGTCAGAGGCGGTATTATGTGCATGTGTGTTACCTTGATTCGCTGCTGCTGCAAGAAAGCAGCAAAGAACAGTTTATTTCTGCTACAAAGAATTTCAAAGGCAAGACTTTTTGTGCAGCCAGCTTCTCTCAGGGATACTCACGCTATTTCAAACAAGAGAAAGCATGCACACACGTTTTTATCACTTGTCTGGACATACATTCATTTCCCAGAGACTTACCCTAACCTTAACCTAACTAATTTTAAACCAAATCGTCATTCTAAATTTCCCAGTCTCCCAAGCTGGTTTTGTTTCCCACAGTGCGAATGTTTATAATAGACACACACGCACAAAGCAGCTGAGGCAACCAAGCAGATGGCAAGTCTCTTCAAAATCACTGCAGTGAGAGAGAGAGAGCAGAAACACACTGAATTTAAGCTTGACAAAGCAAAAACCACCATGAAAAAAAGACAGAAATTACAGGATTCAGCAAAACCAGTTGCTTTGATTCTGCCCACCTACACCTACTGTCGATGCTACTAAAAAAAAAAAGTATTTGGTCTCAGCATTCAAGGGGCTTATTTTA